GTCGAGTGAAGACCAGTCCGTTGGTGATTTTATGGATGAAAAGGAGTGCCCAATAGCTTCGGTTGGTGACTTTTATTATTAATCGCTTCCTTCTACTTGTTCTTTTCTTTCAACATAGTTTCCATATATGATGTCTTTTTGTACATCATTCATTGTCCGACATCCAATCTTTTTATGTTTCAATGCTGCAGGAAAGGTGAGAGAAAGTTATCGTCAATGTTCTGTTATTTATTTCAACTTCTTTGAAATCATCAATTCCTGATGGAGATCAAAATCAGTTATCATATTACATGTCTAAATTCCTATGATTTTTTCCAGATCTTTATTTCCATAAACTTCTTAATTTGGACTAAATCCTATACATAGTGAATGTGTCTTCCTTCTGTCACTTGTTAAAGTTCGCTTTTTGAACGTGAACGAAAAGCCTGCAGACGGGCTCATATCGTTTGTTCCATTCGTGGAAGAGATGGGATTCCTGGGATGTTAACAAAGATTGTTTTGCTGAATTTAATTCCTGGCTCCATCAAAACCAAATATCGTGTCCATCCGAGTTTAAAGGAACATTCAAAAGGGGTTTAACTATCTAAGTATTCTAACCTTGTAGAGGTTTATTGTCTTTCTCGATTGATTCCCTAACTTAAGTGAAAGTAAATCGATAACTTTGATTGACATAGTGCTGCCACTTCAAAGAAAACTGATTTCAAATATTCAAGGAGCTGCGATTTAAAAACTTAACACAAATTTTCAATTCTCGGCCCAATAAGTGAAAATTCAAATAATAGGGCTACGAAGCATGTAGAGTAAGGAGAAAGCTTACCATACATTTACAACGCGCTTAGAATAAGCGTTTGAAAAAAAATCACATAATGATATAGCAACTTGATGACAGGCCAGTAGCATAGTTCGACTTACATTTTTCGTACAAGTTGCTGAACATTTTCCTACCGAAAACTATGGAAACTTAACGTTGCGTAAAACCAGAATTACTCTGCATTCAGCCGCGGTAAATATCTGTCCTCTATTTGACAAATTCTTCTGCACGTCGATTACTGGCTAAACTTGTGTATTTGCTAGCACTTCTGGTCGTTGTATCATATGATTTCTCGTAGTATAATCTGATTCGTGGTCTTTAAATGTTTAATGTTTCATTTTATATCTTAAAAATCGTAATCATTGATCTGATTTTCTTCTCTTTTTGAAATTTAACTAGTGATTTATTAGGTGTCGGTTAAATTGAGACCTTTATAATTATTTAACCATTTCAGGCAATACTACTAAGACGCCGATTCTCTGCTCAGCGTCAAGCAAACATTTCGACATCGTCAAGTGGCACTACTGGCACTGGTTGCCAAAACACCGCCTGCTCTTCAACTGATAGTAGCATGGACGCATCACACGTGAGCACAGTCGTTGTCGGAATGGATTCGAGAAGGTAACACCACAAAGAGGCATATCCATGTAGTTGACTGATCTGCGCTGTATTAGATCACCGTTACCTCGGTTCGCGATTTCCTGTGACCCAGAAGAGCAGCATCACACTTCGAGTGACTCGAGAGTTGGCAAGGAGCTGTCGCCTGTTGATGAGGCAGTGCGTTTCAGGGTTAGCGTTGCGTAATTCAACAATTTTTCATTGTATTCTATTCTATAGATGGCTCCTGCTTTACAGACCCATTCACCATCTCCTCTCCAGCTCGTCATCCCGTCTGGTTTGAATTCAACACAGGCAGCAAGCTCGAGCAGTAATGACACCTGCTATGTAGTCAGTACTCTTTTCACCCATGTGTAGGCGG